TATATATAAATTATAGATTCCCCACTTGGTGTGGTGGCATCTCTGTACAGGTACAGTTTTGAACAGTTTGTCTCTTTTCTGTAAGATTTTGGTACTGTGGAACATGGGGGCTGAGGACATCGGCAACCTGTTGGGGGTCACTGAATCCCAGGAGCCAACCTTACCCTATGTAGGGCTGTGTTTAAAAATCAGGCTTCGTTTCCACCATGGTTTCAGCCCTGTGTGTTCATCACTGGCTTTTGGAGCTGACAGTGATGCTCAGAACACCTTGAGAATTTGTGTTTGGTCTTTGAGTCCCAAGAGAAGCCTAGTACCCTTTCTGCAAATTGACCTTTACTGTTTCAGTGTCTTCCATCCATTTCCATTCTGACAGCTGCCTGAAGTCCCATCACAGATGTTTCTCAGTGCCTTAAGAGGAGAGGTGATCTGGTGCAGGGACAGGCCAACCAGGAACTCTCAGCAAACACAGGGTTGTGTTCAGTCCACAAAAGGAAAGGGATTTTGAAGCTCTCCTTGTTCGTGTGAAAATTACACAAGTGGCATTTTGCTCGGCATTCCTTAAGGATGAGGGTACAGGGCATTGCTTTTCTTTTTTTTAAATCTACATTCAAATATGTGACTGTGGTCTTTTTTATTTTGCTGTTAAGGGGTCTGGAAGTAAAAATGAATACTCCAGGATGCTCATTGTGAGCATATAGAATGCCAGAGTTAGAAGGGCCCATAATCATGTTCTGCCAGGTTACAGTGGGAGCAGGGATTAGAACTCAGGGCTCCACTCCTGGGATACTGAACCAAGCAGCCTGTTCCCTGAGGAAAGAGATTTGTGTCCATTTGGGTTAAGTTGTCCCAGGGATCCCAGCTGATAGAAACCTGCTGCTGCCTTGCTTCTTTTTAGACCTGGCTATGAAAAGATTGCCCAAAGAAAACTATCAGTGAGTCTGTGAGGTCTGCCGTGGCTACCCAGTAGCAGGCAAGCACCCATGGAGGCAGATTTAGGGCCCAAAGCACAGCAGAGGGCTTTGCACATCTTTTGGCAACTTTGGCCCAGAGCCACACTCAGATCCACAGAAAAAGAGAACACGATTGGAAAAGACAAATGTCTTTTTATTTAATTCTGATGTCTTCCTTCATATAGGGGAGCCATGACTAGGTTGCACCAAAGAATATTGTAATTTGACTCCATAAATACTTTTGCTCCCTAAACCTGAGAATCAACAAAAAGACAGGGTTAGTTGTTCTTCTGTGATCAGATTCTATTCTTTATAATTAAAGCAGCTTTTAAAAAATGCAAAAGGTAACTGGTCTTGAGGGCTCAGCCAGTGAAGTAGCTACATAGTAGATAAAGGAAACAGAGAACAAGTTGAGGATCTTGAGGGAGTAATAAATTAGCAGTTAGCATTTATTGACCACCTATTATAGACCAACCCTTGGGCTCGGTGGACTTCAAATTTCCTAAGAGTCCTGTAAATTGAGTATCTTACCTTCATTTCATAGATAGGAAAATGGATTTGGAGATTTGTTCCTTTCCAGGGCAGTGCAGCTAGTGAGTAGTAGAATTAGGATGAGCATTACTCTGTGGAACCATGTGCAGCCATGTCTGACCTGCAGCCTTCAGATGTAACAGACATAAAAACAAAGAGGAACTTACCTACACCAACTGTCTTTTATATTTTTATGTGGTCCAGGATGTTTTACTCAGTGTGGCCCAGGCAAGCCAAAATGCTAGACATTCCTGACAGAGAAAAGGAAAGTCACAAGTCTATTTTAAATGAAATGACCATCTTTTCTCACATAGGCTAATTCTGTGTGGCATTTTTATGTTGGAAAACAGCTGAATTAATAGGTCTGATAGCCAAGTAAATTGTAAAAACCAGGCATACACACCCCGCATCACTTGCTGTGCTAGCAGTTCTGTCTTAGTCTCTTTTCTCTTTAAACAAAGGGTCCAGAGAAGAAAGTCTTTTTCTTTCCTAAGAAATCCAAGTGAAAGAAAACTCAGTTTTTCTCCATAAATATTCTTGGGCTGTGAACCTTGATCTGAAGGTTATTTTGTTTTAAGCGTGTGTAAACCCAGCATACGGGTTCAGCAAGTCGTTGCTCATGAGTCTAGCTAGGCAGAGCCTTTTGGCCAGAAGTCAAACTGTTTTGGATCAGATAAAATTCTTGGCAAGATATATTTGTTTTCTAGTGAAAGAAAGGCAGAGGAGCAAGCCCTCGTTATTTTTTCCTTGAATACTAAATTCAAGGTATTTTAGTTTTCATTGAGCTTGAGCATATTGTGTCTCATGCTTCGAAAGAACTCTGAGGCTCTGCACTTCTAAGAAACCATGACCCACACCCACACCAAGATTGCAGCTCCTGTCTCTAAAAATCTGTCTCTAAAAATACCTTAATTGCTCTCCTGTTAGTAAATTTGAAGCATGTTTCTGTTTTTATTCCTTTGCCCAACTAAGAATAGGATGGATGAAAAATTGGCAGAAGGAGAAGGATGGTTGGGTGGAAGGATATATAGCACAAATGAGCTAATATACAGATCTGCTATTCTGAAGCAGTTTATGAGCTGTAGACTTTATTCTTTGAAACTGTAGATTCAAACCAGAAAACTATTCATTAGCACCCTACCAGATGTCAGAAATTTATTATACCGTTTATAAAACTCATTAGCTCAGTCTGGTATCAGAAGTAAGAGATGGCATCACCATGGATCCTGTAAATATTAAAAGGCTAACAACAGAATCTCATGAACAAGTTTCTGCTAATACATTCAGCAGTTTAAATGAAGTGGACAAATTCCTGGAAAATTACAAAGTACCAAAGCACAAAGAGAAATAGACACTCCTAGCAGTCCTTTATCTACAGAAACTTAATAGCTTTGAGATACAGTTAATACTCTCCTCATTTTACAGAGGATGAAACTGAGGCTCAGAGAGGTAAAGTGTGTAGCTCAAGGCTGTGTCACTATAATCTAGGAGAGCCAGGTTTACATCCAGGTTTTCTGGTTCTTATCCAGTGTCCTTTCTAACATACCATGTTGCCTCTAAAGATTGCAGCTCCTTCTTTATGGGAGGATCATTCCTGCCCAATCCAGACTCCCCACTGCATCCTGTGCTTCCTTAGCAGTAGGTTTATGTTTCATCAGGGTTGCTTTCATTGTCTTTGGAACCCATGTTCTTGTGTGTATTTGGAAAAAAACTCACCAGCTTGCACTCAGATGAACTTGGATTTAAAGATAAAAATCTTAAATGCTGTTGTACAGTTTAAAATGTGAAGTTTGTAGCTTTAATTTTTTTGTAACAAAAACTAATAACACTGGCTTAAGTGCTGACTTGAAAAGCTATTTTGTAAGGTCTAGATGTAAATAATCCTTTGGGGTCAGCAGTTTGTATATGTTTGAGACATAGCTTCCTCCATTGCCTTTTATTTTCTTTTTTTAAAAAAATTTGAGACGCTTCCTATATACTTTTATGTTAGATTTGTTGTTCTCTCTCCTCTTTCTTCCTACACTCTGTCAACCTTTGTTTTAAATAAACTGTCCATTGGACCACAGATCTCTTGTCTTTTTTTTAAAAATAATTTTATTGAGAAATATCAATGAGACAGTTTCACAACCGATTACTGGCACATTTTCAATAATTAATACATTGCATATTGCTGTCTTAGTGATTATTCATCGTACAAGATGCAGACATGATATCCTGTCTCAAACACTATTATAACCTCTCTATTCATTGAATTAAGAGAATGGAGCTGTATATCTGTCCTATTTTGAGTATACAGATACAAAAGGGTCGTTCATTTCTATCTCACTTTTTTGGTTAGTTTTGTCAGAGATGGGCATTCCATTGTCATTTAAATATTATAGGTGCTTGAATTCAGCAGAATCTCCCAATATAGTCCAGTAGTCCATAATAGTAGTGAGTTTTCCGTAAGACTGGCAGTGTCCAAAGTCATTGACTTGAGCTTTTTACAGCTCAGGATATTAATGTGGGGTTACTTTTTATACTTTGTTTTCATACATTTCTGCTTGATGGTTAAGACCAAGATAAAGCAAGACATATATAACAAAAAATGTAACTTTTGTATCTGATAAAGTCAGTCAAATCCCCTCAGGCTTTAACCTAAAACCCTGTACCACAGTTTGTAGATCCTTTGTGAGTGTCAGCCATGTGGATGAGTCACAGCCATTGCTTGACCAACTTGCTCTCTGTGAAAGCCTGAGAGAATGCTTTCTCTCTATATAACTCTCATAAGGCACACTACATCATCGATCACATTCCTCTGTGGCCGCAGAATCTCCTTGATCAGAAAATTTGGGACACAACTGAGTTACATAATGTTACAGTATAGGTTCTCCTATGTCCTGAGTCCTCACTGACCTTGAAAGGCAGGGGCAAGATGTTGGCTATCCTTGCAGCCCTTCTTTTTCTCTGATTTTTGGTCTGCAAACTTAGATTGTTAACCCTCCAGAAGAGAAGCTTATTCAGGATAGTCCTGCTACAATGCTGTATATGGTTAGATTTCTTAATTTCTGTGTAAAATTATGTAATTGTTTATTCATATTTTTTTCAAGTTTTTAAAAATTTTTGTCTTTGTATGCTGCAGGGACTTAAAGTTTAACATATCAATACTTGATGGCAAATACCTGTTCCATGTTATGTCTAAGATGTTTGATATTCAGACAGATAGGTTAAACCCAACTGCATATGTTGTAGGGTAATAATAAGATCTCCTGTCTTTAAAAGTGAAGTCCTAAATACATGCCTGCTTAATGGTGTGAACCTCTGTGGTGCTGATTATATTCTGTGTATATTCTAGAGTC